TCTCCACAGTGGCTCGGCACGCCTCCACAAACACCTGCGGCTGCCTGGCAGCCACGGGCGCCAGCGCCGCCAGGAAGGCACGCAGCGCCATCGAGGGCTCCCCAGACATGCTCCCTACGCGAGCGGGGGCCGGCGCAGGCAGGGGAGGGAGGTGGGGCGGCGCAGGCGGTGCCGGCACCAGGTGTGCGGCCACGCACGCAGCAGGCCGGCAGGCGGCGCGCCCTGAAGTAGCTCCAGGCAGCCACCAGGAAGCTCCAGGCAGCCACTAGGAAGCTCCAGGCACACCCGCACACCTGGCATCCGTCCATAGGCGTACAGGCTGCGCCCCTTCTCGTTCAGCGTGCTGCGCACCTCGGCCTCCATAGCGGCCTGCAGGGAGCATAGGAAGGGCAGCCGGCAAGAGAGAAGGCGTCGACACATGGTGGAAGATGCGATTGTGTATGTGTTGCCTTCCTGCTCAATCATGCGCGCATGACTCGGTCGCTGCCTGCCCCAATCATGCGCGCATGACTCGGTCTGTTCCTGCCCCAGTCATGCGCGCGCATGACTCGGTCGCTGCCTGCCCCAATCATGCGCGCATGACTCGGTCTGTTCCTGCCCCAGTCATGCGCGCATGACTCGGTCTGTTCCTGCCCCAGTCATGCGCGCATGACTCGGTCGCCGCCTGCCCCAATCATGCGCGCATGACTCGGTCTGTTCCTGCCCCAGTCATGCGCGCATGACTCGGTCTGTTCCTGCCCCAGTCATGCGCGCATGACTCGGTCGCCGCCTGCCCCAGTCATGCGCGCATGACTCGGTCGGTGCCTGCTGCTCAACAGGGTGCTTCCTCCCCTCCCACGCTGCTGCCCTCAGATCCCACACAGCTGGCTGCCTGCACCCCAACCCGCTGCTGCCGCCCGCTCCCACGCTGACGCCTGCCTTTCCCCTCCGCACCTGCAGCGTGGCAGGATCCTCCAAGATGTGCCGGAACACGGCCGCCATGAAAGGCTCCAGCTCGGGACGGAACACGGCGGGCGGCAGCGCCAGCAGCTGTGCGTGGCCCCGCGCAGCGAGCACCTGCGGGGAGGCGCGGGAGAGGAGGGCAGGGGGCGAGGTGGCGGGTGGAAGGGCCGAGCCGGGCGCGCGCAGAGGAGGAGCATTGCACCCAGGCAGGCAGGTTACACACCGCAGGCAGACCAGGGAACACAGGCATAGCAGCAGATGAGGCACACACATATGAGCCCCTGCGCCCACCCATCTTCCTCCCAGCGAGCATGCCGCCCATCACTGCCACACACCTTCTCTGCCAGGGCGTGGTTCTTGGTGAGCCGGGCCAGCAGCTGCACCACCGCATGCAGCGTGGACCGAGGGTCCGGAGCAAGCAGGTCGGGCTTTGGAGGTCCTGCAGGCGCCGCCACAGCATCAGCAGCAGCCGATGAGGCGGCGCCGTCTGCGTCGCCGGCTGCCGCCGCCGCTGCCGGCTCCTGGGGCGTCCAGCTGGCGCCCCAGCTGCAGCACAGAGCAAGACGAGGAGGGGGCGGGAGGTCAATGAATGCTGCAGCATGCTTGCTGTATATGTCGCAGCGCTTTGAGACAATAAACACAGGGAAGATGGCACAAGGGTGGGTAGCCAAGCAGCAGCGCCATACAGACCCAGGGTTCCCTGCCCCTACCCCACACAATCCCCAGCCCCCACCTCTGCATGTGGCGCAGCAGGCGCAGGCAGACATCCACCGTGCGCTGCTGCTCCTGCTCGCTGAGGCTGCCGCCGGTACTGTACTGCTGTACCGCCGCCGCCAGCGCCCGGAAGACTCGCTCCTCTGGTGGCACCTGCTCCTGCTCCCCCTGCTCCTGCTGCTCGCCGGCCGCCGCCGGCGCCGCCGGCTGGCCCTCTGCTGGCGCAGCTGGCTGCGGCTGGCCCTCTGCTGCTCCTGCTGCTGCTGCTCCTCCTCCTGTTGCTTCAGCGGGTGCAGGGCCTGGGACGCCCGGTGGGGAGGTGATCGAGGGAGCTGGGTCGGCGGAGCCAGCCACCGCCGCTGCCGCCTGCTGCGGCTGGTCGACAGCGGTTTCATTGGAGGGCAGGCCCGCGCCGGCATCGCCCTCTGCTGCTGCTGCTGCTGCTGCTGCAGGCGCTGCCGCCGCTGCTCCAGCCGCACCTGCCGCAGCTGGCGCGGCCTGGCCGGCTGGCGCGCCTGCCGCCGCGTGCAGGGCCAGGAACCTTTCCACCTCGGCCACCTGCCCCTGCAGCGCCGCCGCCCGCGCGTCACTGCCTGAGGAGGCGCCGCGGCCATCTGCCGCGGCCGGCGGCGGCGGCGGCTTGGGTGGCGTGGAGGCCAGGATGTCCAGAGCCAGCAGCAGGGTGTCCACCCAGCGCGGCACAGGCACCGCGGGCACGACCCCGGGCGCGGCGCCACCGCCGGGCGCGGCCCCCGCGGCGCCCTCCCGCCGCGCGGCCCTGGCGCTGCTGGCCGCTGCGGGCGGGCGCAGGTGGGCGGAGGTCCAGGCATCCACTGCGTCGAGGGCGATGGAAGCAAAGCCTGCAGGGGGAGGGGCGCGGGAGGGGCACAGGGGGCGGGCCCGCGGCCAGCAGGTCAGCTGTGTGGTCTGTTGGTGGATGCGCGGGGAAGGGGCGAATTCGTCAGCTGTGTGGATGATGCATCGGAGAGCCGATGAGGAGGGCGCAAGACTGATGTTGCACAGCTGTTGCCGAAAGGGTTGCTGTGCCGCGGCCGAGCGCTTCAGCAGCCGGAGTTTGAGCCTTCGTGGATGATGAGAGGGAAGGCAGGCTGGGCAGCAAGAAGAGCGGCGTGCAGCAGCGCGGCTGCGCCACACCCCACCCACCTTTCTCGGCCGCCACCTCCCGGCTGGGGGCTACCTCTGAGAGCAGCAGGGTGGCCAGGTGGGCGGGCGCAAAGAGCTGCGCATCCGAGGGGCTGGATGCGGCGCCGAGGTGCCACATCAGCCGCTCCAGGACCACCTGCGCTCGGAATGGCCAGCCAGGCAGACAGGGTGATAAAGGGTCAGGGGCCAAGTGGGCAGAGTACTATGTGGAAGAAATCAAGAAGACAGGTCGGAGGGTGCGGCAGCAGCTAGAGGAGCGCATGCGCCCATGGCCCAACACGCAGCGCCGGCGCCCCGGGAGAGATCAGACAGCTGGAAACTCGTGCCTGCCCGCCTGCTGCCCGGCGCCCTCGCTGACCTGGCGGTGCTTCACGCTCTGCGCGCTGTGCGCCTTCACCAGGTCGCACACATAGAAGGCTGCCGCTGGGTTGGCCTTCAGCAGGCTAACTGCACACGGAGGGAGGAAAGCGTGGGGTTGCGCGGGCTGGAAGAGGCAGGAATGGGGCGCGTGGCGGTGGCATGCTGCGCCGCCGACGGTGGCGGCACAAGGTGCAGGCAGGGCGGTGCCGCCCACCTGCCGAGTCCAGCAAGGCCAGGGTGTCGGGCATGGTGGCGGTGGGCACGTCTGCCTGGGCCTGCACAGATAGCAACGCAGAAATTGTGTGATTCTGAAGTGGGAGAGAAGCGATTATACCACAGGGCGCAGCTGCAGTATCCATGCCATGTCCTGCTCATGACTTGTACCGCCTAGATGTACCGCCGCACCTCCTCCCCCAGCATCCCCATCTTGTGCCCATCCACCGACAGCGCATCCGCCACCATGCGAGCCAGCTGCTCGTCGTCCTGCTGCTGCTGGGCGGCCGAGGCGCCGGCGGCGCCGCCCGCCGCGGCCGCCGCCTCGGCGGCGGCCGCCGCCTCGGGGTTTGCAAACAGCCATTCCATGGCCAGCTCAACATGGTTGCCGTTCTGTAGAGTGGGGTGGTTGGATGGGATGGGGTGAGCTGGGGGAAAAGTCGTTAGGTATGCCAGGGCATGGGGCGAGAGTGTCGCAATACGGGAGAAGAGAACAGATGAGCGGGAGGGCCAGCAGCCGGCAGCAGAGCAGAGCAGGCTTGCTGAGCATGCAGCACATGCATGAATGCAGTAAAGATGCTGGCGTGTGAGCCACAAGAGCAGCAGAGGCAGGCAGGAGGCCCCTGGCCCCCTCACCCGCCGCAGCGCCTCCTCCGCCTGCGCCTGGCTGAACCCCATCTCCACAATCTGCTGCACGCGGGCGGGGTCGGCGTGGGCGTGGGCGGGGCGCGCGGCGGGGCGCGCAGATGCCGCCACCGCCGCCTGCAGCTGCGCCGTGTTCTCGGTGCAGTTGCGCAGCACAGACACGACAGACTGCAGGGGTGGATGGGTGTGTGGGGTGTGCGGTGGGGGTTGGGGTTGGAGCTCGGGCTGGGAGCGAACATTAAGGAGCTAAGCACACACGTTGCAGGCGAGAGGCCCATGCTAGGGGCTCGATGCAGCAGCCAGAGCGTCCCGAGCCGCAAGGCGCCGGGCAACCGCCGCGAGAGGTTGCCGCCCACCTACCTGCACGATCTTGTCGCCGTGCGCCGCCAGCAGCGATGGGTCGCGCCACAGCGGCAGCACCGCCGCCAGCAGCATGCCCCAGGCTCGGCGCATGAAGGCAGGTGCATCCTCAGCGGGCTTCGAGGCCTCTCCTTCTGCAGGCAGGGGCAGGGCAGGGCAGGTCAGGGCGGGGCAGCAGGGCGTCCAGAGCGGGGTTGGGCTACATGCGGCATGTCAGCAAGCTCTGCAGCATGCTGGCTTGTGCACCAGGGCGCCATTCATGCAGGGCAGCAGGTCATTCGAGGCACACAGCCTCCTCATCGGCTCGCTCCCACAGCGCAGGGCTTTCCGGCCCTGCCCCGCGCACCTGCGCCCGGCACTGCCGCAACGATGAGGTTGGCAGAGTTGGGGCTGTTGATCACCATGGGGGCATGGCTGCAGGGGCAGGGAGAGGGGCAGCAGGACGGATGAGACGACAAAGCTCAGTGGCGGCCGCACCAGGCACAACAAGAAGTTGCACGGCATGGCTCGAGCTGGCAGACACGACAAGGCTGGCCAGCTGTCTGAGCTCCTCCCACCCCACCACCACATGGCGACACACATGGCGAGACACATCACCATCCCTAGCCCAGCCCTGCCCTTACACCCCAGCCCTTGGCTTGCCTCATGTTGGTCATCAGCACCAGGAAGGTCCCCACTGTGGCCTCCACGCTCTGGCGGTACGCTTTGGCGGGGTCGGTGACAGCTGGCGTGCCGCCAGTACCGCCCGCGCCTCCGCCTGCCTCGCCGGCCGCGGCTGCTGCTGCTGCCGCCTGGAACGGCTCTGCCATCTCTATATCCTGCTGCTGCTGCTGCTGGGACGAGGACTCCCGGCCCGCTGCGCCGGCAGTCGAAGCCGCTGGCTCAGGCGGCAGCTGGCGCAGCAGCTCCAGGCAGCCGCCAAACTGCTGCAGGAAGGAGCGCATGCCGCCGGTGGCCTGCGGGGTGTGGGGAGGCGCGCAGGGAGGCAGGCGAGGCACAGGCGGGGAAGCAAAATCAGGGGCAGGGTGGAGGGCAAGCCAGGGCAAGGCTCCGTCCGTCGGGCAGCCCTCTCTCCATCGGCTAGCTCTCCCACCAGCTGAAGCTCCGCCACCTGCCTGCCCCATCACCTCCCACCAGCACACGCCGCCCTCACCATGAAAAAATTGTAGACCAGCGTGTGGGCGGTGCGCCGCCGCCCGTCAAACAGCACGTTGAAGGAGGCATCCAGGACGCGGGACAGGTAGCGCACGCGGCGCGCTGCGCAGGCGAGGGTGTGGGCGCAGGCAGAGGAGAGGCACTGGGGCGGGAGTGGACTGGTGGAAGCGCTGATGCGCAGGCACGGTGCAGCACACGAGGTGCCGGGGTTGGTGGCAGCGTGCGGCAGGCTGCTGGCCGGCACTCACCCTGGGGAGTGGCAAAGGGGCTGGGCGCCTCCTCGCCCGCCGGCGCCTTGCCCTTATCGCCGGGCTCGCCCATGCCCTGCAGGCGGCGGGCGAAGGAACAACATCATGGTTGGTTGGTTGGTTGCAACCCTGATGCAGGCCATACCACAGCCAGGCAGCATGAACCTGTGAGCAGGGCCCGACACACGCGACGCACACCACACCAGAACCACCCCACCCCTCCCAACCCCACACACCCATGCACCCTCCCCACCCACACCTGGAACTCAAAGTTGCGGCGCAGCACCACGGCCAGGTTGACGGCGGCCGCCCGCATGGCCATGGAGGGCTGCGCCGCCGCCTCCTCGCGGCGCCGCACGGGGACGTGGATGGCCTTGGCGACGGCCTGCGGGGATGGGAGGGGTGGCAGGGGTGTGTGGTTAATGCGGTGGTGCTGCAGGTGGTCTGTGTGTACTGTGGTGGTAATGGAGCGGGGGAAGAGGCGCACTCAGGTGGGGAGAGAGAGAGGTTTGGCAGGAGACGTCTCAGCAGGTGGCCACACCAGCCCGGGGCGGCGGGCAACGCGGGGAGGCGTTCAATCGACCCGCGCAGCAGTCATCGCCGGCCCACCTGGTCAAAGGCGCGCGCCGTGTGGGCAAAGTGCAAAAGAATGTCGCACGACAGCTCCTCCGGCCCCTTGCGCTTCTTCTCCTTGTCCTTTCCACCTGCCGCGGCGCCACCCATCCCAGCAGCCAACCCCGGGGAGGCAGGGCCCGCGCCAGAGCCAGCCGCTGCGTCGGCGGGAACTGCAGCAGCAGCGCTGGTGCCGGCTGCGTCTGACATTTCCAGGTCGCCGCCGTTGGCGCCCGCCGCTTCGGCCGCGGCAGCCGCCTTCTCCTCTGCCGCCTTGCGGGCTTCATGCTCCAGCTTCCACTCGTCTGTGGCAGCAGCAGGCGCAGGCGCAGCAGCAGCACAGTAAAAGCAAAGCATGCTACAGGGGGAGCAATCAACCTGAGCGGCTCGGCTGGCAGCCACACTTGGAAATTGCGCCCCATCTCCCTACCCCACGCATCCGCCTCCCACTGCCGCCCACCCAGCCATGCACCTGCCACCGCCGCCTGCCACAGCACCATGCGCTCCAGCTCCCCCAGTTTCAGAATCACGCTCATGTCGCCATTGCTGATGTCCTGCAGCACAGGCGGAGAGAGTGCGGTACAGGCAGGGAGCAGGTGAGACAGCACGGTCATCCGTGGTTGGCACGGCAGGCCGGTCCAGCCGGCAGGCGAGCACGGTGGGTGGTGCCAGGCAGGAAAGGCACACAGGCAGGGCGTGGACAGAAAGGCAGGCGTCCTCCTCCCAACACCCCACCACGCAGAAACACCCACACGCCCACACAACCACCCGGCCCACCCCACACCCGCACACCTTGAGGACGGAGGAGGCATTGCGCACGACGGCCGCCGCCAGCGCGGCCAGGCCCTCTGTGGAGGAGACGTGGCGGATGTAGGCGTCACGCTGCGGGGGCAGGCAGGAGGCAGGGGCGCAGCGAGGTGTTTGGGTGGGTGCGGGCAGCTGGTGGCAGACCCTGCGTCAGGCACAATGGCAAGGAGAAGGCAGGGGTGCTCCACAGGCGAAAGGGGCTGGCTCAGATGCCTGCTGCGGGCGCCGCCCCCCACACCCCTCCCGCGCCTCACCTGCTCCGTGGGCAGCAGCGGCACGCAGGCGCCGCCCACCGCGCGCGCCGCCTCCAGCGCCGCATCCAGCTGTGCCAGCAGGGCGCCGCGCAGCAGGGAAAAGATGTGGGGCAGCTGGGCGGAGGCGTGCTGGGAGGTGAAGACTCGGAAGCTGACCAGCAGGCTGCAGGCAGAAAGGCAGGGGACGGAAGGAGGAGGCAGGCGGTCAGGTAGGCAGGGCGACCACAACACAAGGCGAGCAAGGGAGCAGGGGACGCAAGCTGCAAGCTGCAGCCGCGCAGGCGCCGCGGCCTAAGCGCACCTGTGACTGGCGTTGGTGCTTCCAAAGGTGGGGGGCAGGCGGGGCAGGCGGTACAGTGTGAGCAGCAGCTCCACGCCGCCTCGCTCCACAAACAGCCTGCAGCGGGAGGGGGGCAGGCGGGAGGGATGTGGCGGAAGGTGGCAGAACACAAGCCCAGGCACAGCGCCCTGTCCACAACCTGAACTATACACAGAACACACGCATACACCACCAACCACCACCTCCAAGACCCACACAGACACTCACTTGGCTGTCTCTGCGCTGGTCAGCATGGTCTCCAGCATACGCGCTGCAGGCAGGCGGGGAGCAAGGCAATGCGGGTTGGCCAGGCCAGCGCGCGGTGCGCCTCAGCTGCCCAGCAGCCAATTGTGGCAGCCTGTGCCACCCGATGGGCAGGGGCTGCAACAACTTTGGTGACATGCAGCTGCTGGCATCAACCATGAGCAGTGTCAGACAGTGGCGGCTTCAGCTGGCAACGCCCAGGCTACACACAGCAGATGGGCGAGGGGTCAGCGGTACCCACCAGTGTACGTCACACACTCCACCAGGTACCCCTCAGCTTCCGGGTCCTCTGGTACCACCTCCTCCTCCTCCTCTTCCTCCTCCTCTTCAGGCTCAGCCTCGGCCTCTGCGGCCTGTGCCTGCTGCTCGCCGGCAGGCGCCGCTGCCGCCGCGGCATCAGCGGGCGCGGCAGCCTCGTCGGCGGCCGCGGCCGCCGGCGCCTGCTCCGTACCGGCTTCTGCGGCCATGGCCACATCCTGCTGCGGCTGCTGAGCTGGCGGCTGCTGAGCTGGCGCCTCCACCTCCATGGCCTCCTCAGCTGGCGGCGCAGCACCGTCGGTTTCCATGGCCTCCCCACCGCCGGCAGCACCTGCGCCTGGGGCCTCCGCCTCGGTCGCAGCCGCACCCGCCGCGGCGCCTTCCGCCGCCTGGCCGGCTGCAGCGGCAGCGGGCGCCTCGGCGCCCGCGCCTGCTGCTGCGCCCTCGCCCGCCGGCTGTGCTGGCGCGGCCTCCGCAGGCGGCCGCGGCGGCGGCTTAGGAGGGTTGGGCTCCCCGCCCAGCATGCACAGGCGGCGCAGGATGCGAATCACGACGTCGACGCCGTCTGCAGGTGCAGGCAGAAAGGGCATGGCAAGGGTCCTTGAACGGAGCAGGTGGGTGGGCGCACAGCATGCCAGACCCTTCCCCTCGCCTGCCAGCTCAGCTGCGTCGGCCCCAGCAGCGCAATTCGCGGGCACGGGGCACACAAAGCAGCTCCCGCCCAACACCAGCCCGCCGCCACCCACGCCGCGCAGCCCACCTGGGCGCAGCTGTGGCACGTGGCGCAGCAGCTCATCCAGCCCCGCGCCCAGCACCACGGCCGACTCTCCTGCAGAGGACGAGGAGCAGCGGAGGCAGGAGGCACAGGGGCAGGGGTGGGTGGGACGAGGATGTGGATCCACAGGCTGCCCTCTGAGGCAAGCGCATGTCCACCATGAACAACACCCCGCTGCATCGCCCTTTGGGGCGCCCTCCTTCCGCTCAACGACCGGCCCTTCCGCTCAAGGATATGCTCACCCTGCAGCGCCTTGACGTACTGCTTGCTGGAGAAGATGGGCACGAAGCAGCGCAGCGCCTTGCTGCGCCGCACGCGCTGCAGGCCGCTCGAGTTGAGGCAGAGGACCATGAGGGTGTTGGGCACGGCGGCCACGGCCTCCATGCTCACTATGACTCCGCCTGCCACGCTGTCCAGGAAGGCCTGTGAGGCAGGAGCACGCGATGGTGCGAGCAGGAGTTCAATGTTCACAGCCATCATCAGTTCATTGTTAAGGACAGAGCCGAGCCAGCCCAGTCATGGTTCTCAGCCAGCCGCCCCGGCCACCGCCATCAAGCTAGACCACCACGCGTTCACCTACACACCACACAGACACCCCACACACACACGCTCACACACGCACAGCCATGCGCCTCACCTGCGGCAGCCCCGCCTCGTCCAGCGTGCGGTACACCAGCGGGTCGTGGTGGATCAGGTCCGCCACCACGCTGGCAGCCAGAGAGAACAGGCCGCCGCCAAACTCCTTGCTGCAGCGGGCGCGGGCGGGCGGGCTCGTGATAAGCTGACAGCAGCGTGTGTGTGCAGGCAGGCGGCGAGTCGTGGTGCGCGTTCCAGCAGCTCAAGCCAAAGACTCCTCTCAGCAATGGCAAGCTTGTCGAGCCAGGGGCACAGCTGGGCGTGCCGGAACGCATGCTGCTGCTGCGGGCTTGCCTGCGCTCAAAGATGATCTTGAGGCAGGCGTAGAGCTCTGCTGCGTCCCGCTCGTCTGCACGTTGTGTGCTGCCTGCAGCAGGAGGAAAATGCAACAGTGTGAGGCGGCATCGGACAAACGTAAAGAAGCGTGTGCCGGAGCAGGCCAGGAGGGAGACTAGGAGCAGCCTGCCAGTTCAGCGAAGCTGACCTGGCGCGTAGCTGGCAACGGCGATGGCCCGCAGCAGCGACTTGAGCAGCAGGCGGCGGCTGTAGGGCACCGTCTTCTGCGGCGGCTGGGCTGCGGCTGCAGGCTGCTGCGCCGCCTGCTGCCCGCCCTCTGTAAGCATGGCCTCGCCGCTGCCAGCGGCGGCAGCACCGGCTGCAGGGCTTGCGGCCAAGCTGGCGGCGGTTGGGGTGGCTGATGCCGAGGCAGGTGCTCCAGCGGTAGAGCTCGCCTCTGCCGGCTGGTCCACCTCGTACCGCAGCCGCTGCAGTACATGAATTGATGCCACGTCAGCAAAAGTGTACAGCAGGGTAGCGCGCAACCAGGCACGGCAGGCAGGGAGGATGCGCAGCAGGGCAGTACAGCAGTACAGTACATCAGTACAATGGCAGCACGGTACCTGCACCATGATGCGTAGGCCGCCCAGCTCGCGGAACAGACCGCTGCTTGGGGGGCTGCACGGGGGGCAGGGAATTGGGCAAAGAAGGGGAGGCGCGAGGCGGGGTCAGCGGCGAGGTGTGGATGGCAGGGCAGCGGGAGGAAGTGCATGATTTGCAGCTGGCATGACCTTGCTGCGGGGCTGGCAACCTTGGAGTCGCCGGCAGTCGCAAGGCCTGGTTGTGAGCCATGTGGCGCAGCCAACCATGCAACAGCTGACCGCCAAGCATGCCAGCCTGCCCACTGCAACGAGGGCTGTTTTCCCTCCCTCTCAGTGCACACAAGCCGCAGGGCCCAGGCCAAACGCCTGCTGCTGTCTTCTTCTCTCCCGAGACCCTGCCCGCAGCCAACCCCACCCAGCCACTCCACAAACAAGGCAGCACATCCCACGCAACCAGACCAAGCCAGCAACCCAGCCCCCAGCGCAGCTCAATGCACCAGCGACGAAGAGCAAGCCTCACCTGAAGTCCATGAATGCCTCCAGTATTCTCACGGTGGAGGCCACCAGCGCCAGGTGGGACGGCTCCCGGTGCTCCAGCAGCGGCAGCAGCGCCGGCACCAGGCTTGCATCCGACAGCGCGGCGGTGCCTGCGGCGGGCGAGGGACGGGAGGGAGGGGAGGGAGGAGGGAGCGAGATGGAGGAGGCTCATGAGCGGCAGTGGCACCAACAGTTGGGAGGCGGCGGAGGTGCTCGGTGGGGCCAAGGTGGGGTGATGCGACGCCCGTGTGCCATCCAGCACCCGCCCCGCAGGAGTCACCCCGCCACCCCAGTACTGCCACCCCCGTACTGCCAGACCTGATGTGGAGGTGACCAGGGCCCCCACCATGGACAGCAGGGCCTCGATGAAGCCGAGGCTGTACCGCACAGGCACCTCCTCGCTCCCTGCGGGCGAGGCCGGGCGGGGAAAGGCCACCACACATTGATAGCATGCAGCCTGTGAGCATGATGGCTCCCCAGTTACACATCCCAAACCCTGTAGCCAGCCCCACTCCTGCCACCATTTCCAAGCACTGCCGCCAGCGCACCCCTTGCCACGCCCCTCACCCGTCAGCGAGGCCACGGCGCGGTGCAGCATCAGCGCCAGCAGCCCGCTCTGCTCGCCGCCTGCAATGGCGGCGATCACTGCGCCGTGCCGCGTGCGGTCCAGCAGCTGCGCGGCAGCAGGAGGAGAGCAGGCAGGCACACCAGGGCATCAGCACGGGACGTCAGGAGGGCAGGCAGGTGGGGCTTGGGGAGGCAGAGCCTCTCCGGCAGCATCCCTCCATCCCGGCGCCGCCCCCGCCAGCCTGTACTGCCCACCTGTACCGCCAGCGAGCGCAGCGCCAGCGTCTGGATGTCGTCGGCCACCTCGCCTTCGTGCCGCAGCAGCGCCGCCAGCTGCGCAGGAGAGCCGGGCGGAGGCAGAGGTGTGGGAGGGACAGCGGGACAGGCCATGGCAAAGTTCAGGCCGGCGCCGGCCACAAGCCGCCAGGCAGCCCAGGGGCGGGCGGCAACCTCCACACACGACAGCAAGTTCCGTCTCCCCCAGCCAACCCCTTGCGCCTCCCTAGCCACACCTCCACAACTACAGCACGCCTGCTTCCACACACACACCACCACAACGGCGGGCTAGACACCAGCACCGCAGCTGCGACTGGCGCCCACCTGCTGCACAAACTCGGGCGCTGCCTGGAACAGTGCCATGATGTCAGTGGGGGAGGGGTTGGACTGGAAGGCGACGTAGAAGGACAGCAGGCGCAGGCGCAGCAGCAGCTGGCGGGGGGGGGCCGCCGCAAAGGCGCGCGCCACGCGAATCTGCGGAGAGGGTGCGGTGCGGGGCGGCGATCCTTGGCGCTTGCTGTGTGGCGTGCAAGGTGTGGGGTGCGGGCTCACCCAGGCATCTGGTCACTCCGGCTCACCCAGGCAGCTGGTCAATCGCGTCCAGGCTGCACAGCTACAGGCTACACATCCATGCATGCACCCACCCACCCACCTTGTGCAGCAAGGCAAAGCGTTTGTCCAGCGGCACGCCGTGCTCCCGCACCAGCCGCTCCAGGATCTGGTGCTCTGCGGCAGAGCAGGTGCGGCGTGGTAGAGCATGTGGGCGTGGTGTGTGGTGATGGAAGAGGTGGTGGCGGTGAGTGAACGCGGCAGCTTGGGCAGTGGCAGGGCATCACAGGGTAGCTGGGCAGCCCAGCAGCCAGGCAGGCAGCCTGCTACCAACTCACCGCTCTCCGGAAGGCGGTCCACCGCGGGAATATCAATGATGCGCAGCCCGCCGGCGCCGCCGCCCTCTGCCGCTGCTGCGCCCTCGGCGGCCGAGCCCTCGGCAGCGGCGGCGGCGGCGGCGGCGGCGGCCGCGTAGAACTGGAAGTGTAGGTTGGTGGGCGGGCTGGCCAAGTCGCTGCCCCGGGCGCATGACAGCAGGTCAGGCACCTCCTCGCCGCTGCCCCAGCTGCCCGCCAGCACCATCAGGCGGGCATTCAGGTCCTCGGTGCCTCCCCACCTGCACCGCACGGCGGCACACACAAGGCAGCGCCCTCAGCGACGCCCCACCCAGACAACCAGCCGGCAGCAGAAACGCCAAGGGTGCGCACCGTGCGGCGGGGCTGCTCGACTTGCGCACAAATGCGGCTAGGGTCTGCAGCGTGGCGAGGACGACCGCGGCATCCGGCGCCGCCAGCAGGAGCGACAGGTACTGCAGGCAGCGGCGGCAGCAGGGGGAGGAGGCGGGGCGCAGCAGGGTTGTCATGAAGTACCAACAGCCTGTTGAGCACTCGAGCAGATAGGCGGCAAGCTGCACATGTGCTGCATAACTGCACTGCATGTGCTGCTTCTGTACTGATTGTACTGCTCCCACACGTACCTCGTATGAGTTATACAGATGCTTGTTGGAACAGCCCTCCAGGATGAGCGTGGTCACCCGCAGTATCTCCAGGACCGCCGGGCTGGGAAAGGGCGGGTCCGGCTGCCGCGCCTGCTGCTGCTGCTGCTGCTGCTGCTGCTGCTGGACGGGCACGGCGCCGCTGCTGCTTGCGCTGCCGGCGGGGCCGCGACCGCCCGAGCCGCTGCTGGGCGCTTCAGCTGCGGGGCTGGGTGTGCCATCCTCGTGCTCCAGCTGCAGCTGCAGGTCCGTCCTGTCCTTGACGTGCCGCTCAAAGTAGGCATCAAAGTGGTCCAGGAGAGGCACCCAGTGGTGGACGTCTCCCTGCGGGTGGGAGCGGCGTGTGGTCAGCGGGCGTGGGCCAGCGTGATGCGTCGGTGTTGGTCAGGTGGTGTGGCGAGTTGCGGGCGTGGATGTGAGCGCGGGAGGTGGAAGGGCAAAAGCGGCAGGGAGGGAGGGGGTGTGCGGCTGGGGGCACACAAGTGGCGCTGCTGCCAGAGCTGTGCAGCAGGCGCGGCAGTAAGCCCCTGCCATCGCCTGGGCTGCCAAGCACGAGCGAGCGCAACAGCCAGCTGCTCGGCGCAGGCAGCAGGCGACAACGCAACGCACGAGCGGTGTGGTGCCAGGCGGCGGGAGTGGACCGAAACAGAGGCGGAAGCATGCATGGATCGCAGGAAGGCCTCCCGGAAGGTGCCACCCACCTTGGATTCAAACTCCCATGCAAAGCCCTGCAGCGCCTCGCCCACGAGGTCGAGCGGCTGGCAGACAATGGCCTCCACCGCCGCCCGCACCGCCTCGGGCTGCAGGCAAGGGAGGGACAGGGCACGGGGAGCAGTCGTGAGCGCGGCAGGCAGGCAGCATTGCCGGCATGCCGCCTGTACATGATGGCCGAGATGGCTCCCAGCTGGAGCGACTGGGCAGCAGCGCGGCGGCCGCCGCCATCTGATCGAGTTGGCCAACCCTGCCCGCCGCGGCCTTGGAATGCGCCCAGCCACGCAGCATGGTCGCCGGGACGGGCAGGTGGGTCCAGCGGCGACCCGGGCAGGGAAGGGTCCGCCGAGAGCACAAGCATGGCGGGCCTGGCACCCGCCACGCCCCCAGGACCCTAGGGCCCACGATCACTGCCCGGGTAGGGCGATGGCACGCCCTGACACCCACCGCTTCCACCGTGCGCCTCGACTTCACACGCATGGTTGTCAAGTGGGCATCCTGGGCCAATCAGAGGTTGCCGCGAGTCTCGAACGCCCCGGCTGATCGTTCGGAGACGGCTGGGTGGGATGGAGCGCCGCCTCAATGCCGGCCAACATGGCAGGAAAGGCCACGGCGGTGGCACGGCGGCGGCGATCGGCCAGCCGCCTTCCCGCAGCTGATGCCCTATCTGGCAATCGGATCCATTACTCTGTGAGCCTGCTATCCAACATGGGGCCATCTTTCCTATCATGTGCTCCATTTGGGAATGCATCACTGGGGGCAGCAACGCTTGCGAGGGACGGCGGGCAACAGCGGGGGCGGCAGGTCCGCACTGTTGTTCCCAGTCAGCTTTGGAGTGCCAATGCTGAATGGCCGATGCCGAGCCAGGATACAGATCCCCTGTGTGCTACGGTATTGAAACCCTGCTCTGCATCCATGACGCTGCTCACTCGCCGCTGTGCTGGCGGCGGAACGCTCTGGAAAGCTGGTCTGGTCAGCGCAAGCGTGTTTTCTGCTGCCTCTTCACCTGCGGCCTCGGCACGTGGTGCTACGCCTCAGTATAACCCTTCAATCAGCAGGAACAGTGGCATGGTGAGTCGCTGGTTTTGGGCAGCCGCCTCGCTCTGCTGTGCTGCGCATCGCGCCCTGATTGCCGGTTTCTGCGCGATCCACTAACGCAGGCAAAGTGGGGAGAGGGCGATGCAAGGTGGGCGGCGGCGGCGGGTGGCGGCGCGGGCAGGCAGCCACCCTTCCAATTTTACTATTTTGTCGTAACCCGCCGCCATGTGCAGGTGGCAGGTGGCAGATTTGGGCGAGGCCGGCCGCAACGTGAATGCCTGGCACTGGGTGGAGAAAGATGCGCTGCCCTGGAGCCGGGAGCGGCTGCAGGGTGAGCGACCGCTGGTGGAGAGACAGGGCCGGTTGGTCTGGATGGGCTGGCTGCTGCTCACCATCTGCTGCTTGGGTCGGAAAGTGACGGCTGGATCGACGCATCTCCAGACCTTGGCTTGCATCCAGCAGCGTCCCCCACCCCTGAATGTCGCCAGCTGCTCCTGCCTGCCTGCGCCGCCCCGACCGCGTGCAGAGCTGCTGGGCTCTGCCGACCTGGCTCCCGGCAGCGGCCTGGCCGTGCGCGGCACGGGGCTGAAGAGCTGCGAGGGGGAGGCTGTGGTGAACAACCGCAAGAACAAGATCATCGCCGCCTATGAGCTGGCGGTGGTGGTGGGCTGGGAGTGCGTGGGCGAGGACGGCGGCACCGTGGCTGGCGAGCTGCGCATGCCCTACATCTCCGAAGAGAACCACGACGAGGATCCAGAGCTGCAGGCGCGCTGCGGGAGCAGCTCCTGCGCCGGCGGGGCACTGGCGTGGGCAGCAGCCGGTGGCGGCCCACCCCCTGTGGCTGCTGACCTTCCAGGCCGCGGCAGCCACGTGCCAGCCTGCATCCGTGTTCGTGGCAGTTGAGTGACGAGGCGGCTGCCATGCGGGTTGCTCCTCCGGCCTTGCAGGTGGCCGTCACAAGCGAGGGCCCTGCTGCTCAGAAGGCCAAGGAGGCAATCCTGAGCAGCGGCAAGAAGGTGCAAGCCCGGGCCGGGGGCGGGAGCAGACACTGTGTGGACTGGGGCAGCAGGGCCTGTGCGGTTGTGGCACGGCCTGCCCAATCGAGCGAGGCCTGTGGTGGGGGCCTGTGCTGCCCATGCCATGCCATGCCATGCCGGCTCATGCTGTGCTGTGCTGTGTGCTTCGCTGCAGGTGATCTATGATGCAGTGGCCACATTTGTCCAGGAGCTGCGGGCGGGTGGCCCCATGCGCAGCGGCGTGGCCCAGCCCAAGGCGGCTCCCGCACAGTCGGTGGATGCCGCGGTGGCCGCTGCGGCAGGGGAAGCCAACGGCAGCTCAGCGCCGGCGGCGGCAGCAGCGACGCAGCCGGTGGCGGCGGCGGAGAAGGAGAATGCGACGGAGACGCCCGCGGGCAGCGGACACAGCATCGAGCTGCGAGAAAAATTCTTTGCAGGGGCGGCAGGTGAGGCGTGCAGGCTAGCAGCAGCCACGCCCTGGCCACGTGGCCTCGCCCGCTCCCAACTCTTGCGTTTTAGCTTGCATATTGTGCACTGCCCAGCGCCAGATGGCTCTGCTGCCTGTGTCTCAGTGCCCATGAAATCTTGATGCGCCTCTGCCATCAAGTCTCCCCCCCCACCCTCGTGTGCTGGCCATCACAGAGCTGTTTGAATGCTTCACCGTCGCGCCACGCATGATGGCCTTCTCGCAGAGCCCCGCAGAGGCGCAGCCGCAGCCGGTGAGCAGCCCATGTGTCCACTCCCTGCCTGTGCCTGCCTGCCCTGCTGCTAGACAGGCCATCTAGAGCAGTCGCCCAACCCTGCGCTGCCCCTGCCCGCTAATCTCCCTGCTCGGTTTCCGCCCGTGCAGGGCGGCCGCTTCTCGATGTTTGGGGGCAGCGTGCAGGGTGTGTACCGGGAGGTGCAGCCCAACAGCCGCATCCTGCTAGACTGGCGCTTCAGGTGAGGGCCCCCAGGCTCTTGGAATTGGGCTCGGATGCCCAAATGGCGGCCACCAGCCAGTCGGCGGCTGCTTGTTTTTGCTGCTGTTGCCCACTGCGCTGCGCGTCGCCTCCTGCCGCGCAGTAACTGGGAGGATGGGGTGTTCTCCCGGCTGGAGCTGTGCTTTGATGAGCCCGACAAGGGGAATACCACCGTCACGCTGAAGCAGGTGATGTGCAGCGACCTGAGCAGCCCGGGTTTCAGATGTCTGGTGCAGCTCTGGCTGTGGGGCTGCCAGCCCTGCTGTTGACACCTGCCGCTGCTCACTGCCCTGCCACCTTGCGCCCGTGCATTGGTGCAGACCGGCATCCCCGATGCCGACCGCTTTGGCAACCACGACGTGGTGGGGGTGACGGAGGCGGGGTGGCGCCAGCAGGTCTTCGACCGAATCCGCCGCGTGTTTGGCTACGGCTGCTGACCTAGCCAGTCAACGCCTGGGTGCTGCGCAGTGCTTACAGCAATTTCATTACGGCGAGACCCTGCGTCGCCATTTGATTGCCTTTGGTGCGAGTGCAAACTCACCACGCAATGGGCATACGGTGTTAAAGGAACAGGAAGGCAGCAGGGTGCATGACATCTGCAGCACACAGCACAGCTGTGCAACCAGATGCAGAGGGTTGTAGCTTGGCTGGTTGCCTCAGCACTCCGCCGCCAGGTCTGCGTGAAGCAGCTGGTGGAAGTGGAACATGGGCCCCTCCACCCCCGGAGCATACCTGCACACACCAGCCAACCGCAAACACTGACGAACGATGCAGCCTTTCACCAAAGAGGGCAGGAGGTTGTGGGTCTGGCCATGCCCAAGCCCGGAAGCAGCTCCCACGCCCCACCTGCCGGTGTCGTAGGCTGCCGAGGCCAGGCCTCGCTGCACCGACTCGCACAGCGCCACATCCTCCAGCTGCACGCGGTGGCTGGCTGCCAGGCTCTCCTCGATGAAACCGGCATCGCCCGCCAGGCTGGGGTCAAGAAAGTAGTCAAAGAGGACCTGAGGAAAGATAGGAGGAAAGGAGGGGAGGAGACACCTGTCACAGCATGATGCGACGCCGTAGGCGCCAACCACGGCGTGCGGGTTAGGGAAGCGCCTTCCAGGCAGCTGGCAGCCAGCACCTTGCATCGGTTGGCCGCCAGCGGCACGACGTAATTGGCATCGAGCCAGGGGCCGTACCTGCATATGCAGGACAGGCAGAGGCAGTGGAGGGCCATGCATCAAAACACCGACGCGCAGCCAGGCCAGGCTAGGAACGAGAAAGGTTCCGATCAGCTCAGCCCCTGCTGCTCTCCCTGGCACCAAGCTTGAGCTGCTGAGCTTGCCTGTTGAGCATCAAATTTGGATAGATGAAGACATACGCCGGCGGCCTGCCGCCCGCGATCCTCTGCCGCCGCCACATGCCCTGCTCGCCGGCGCTGCCGCCCGATGTGCCTGCATGCGCCTCCCCTGCTTCCGCTGCTGCTGCCGCCGCCGCGGGCTGGCAGGACTGAATGGAGAGGCGCTCGCAGAGGGTGGAGCGATAGGTGGCCAGGTCCAGGCCAGATGCCAGCTCAGGGTGCGCCACGCTCACGTGGTAGCCGCCATCCTGCGGAGGCAGAGGGGCGGGGCTGAGGAGGGAGAGGGTCAGGGCAGGGGCCACGGGCCGGACATGGCATGCCTTGCCAGCTCAGGCCAGGCAGCAGACTGCCCTGCCGCCTCAGCTCTGCCGCCGTCCCCGGTCACCCCCCGCCCTGGCGCTCATGCGCCCCCACTACAACAAGAGGCAATTACCAGGTAGTTGTCGATGAAGACCTTCCAGTTGCACGCGATTTCATACTCCCTGCTGGCGACAAGCACAAGGCTGTCTGCTATGCCCGCTGCCAGCGCCGCGGCACTGCCTCCTGGGCCCAGCCATGCCGCCACCCCTTCCTCCTGCCCCGCCTGCTGCTGCTGCTGCTGCTGCTCCTGCTGCCTGATCGCCTTGCTGCCTCCCCCGCTGCTGGCGCTGGCTGCTGCCGGCCGCGAGCTGCCGCCGTAAAAATGCCGCTGCCGCACCCAGACAAAGCCGCCCCACTCTTCGACCTGCAGCGGCACCAGGCCGTGGTCTGCAGCCCGGAAGTCTTCTATTCCCTTTAATCGAGTCGCCCGCTGCAGACGGCCGTCCAGCCCATACGTCCAGCCATGGTACGGGCACTGGAAGCAGCTCGCTGTGCCTGCCCCCTGAGCCAGAATGGCGGCGTGGTGGCGGCACACCTGCGGGGGTCGTATAGTGGTGGGCAAAGGCAGCGCAAGGTCTTCACGGCCGCGGGCTCATGCAGAAGCGATGGTGGTAACAGAGTGCTTGTTGCCAACAAACCAAGCAGAGTAGCATGCATGCACCCCACCCCCCACCCACCCCCCAAACACCGACTTCTTACGTTGTGGAAGGCATGCAGCCCGCCCTGCTCGTCCCGGCAGGCCAGCCACTCCAGGCTGAGCAGGCTGCCGGCGGTGTAGGCTCCCGGTGCTGCCACCCGGTTGGCGTGGGCCACTGCCAGCCAGCTGCGCTGGAAGACGGCACTCTCTTCCCGTTCTAGCACCCCGGGCTGCGCATACCAAGAGGAAGGCGGCGTGGCAGCTCGGGAAATGGGCTCCCCAGCGTGCGGCCACGGCTCCAGCGGCGGCAGCCTGGCGGCATCAGTGGCGGCGGCGGCGGCGCTGCCCAGCCACCGTCGGCAGCTATCCAGGCATCCCTTATCGCTGCCTGCAGTGGTCAGGGGCGCCGTGGCGGTGTTTGCCAGGCCAACGGCAGCAGCCGCAAGACGAGCGCGCAGAGGGGTTCTTTGGCTGGTTGCCAAACGCAGCATGCTCAGAGCCGGCAGAGATCAAATGTTAGCCCAGATGTTGCGTTGCCATGGGTTGCCAGGTTAATGGGACTGGTGCCCAGCCGCCGCCACCTGGGCGGGGGCGGGCGGCGCCTGGCACTGGATGGCAAGCTTTGAAGTTGTAATGCCAATCTGCGCAAGTGGCTTCATTACAAGGTGCCACACGCCACACACAGCTGCATACATATGAGCATGCCTTAGGCAAGGGTCACGAGGGATGCCTTAGGCCACGCCCACGAGAGATGCAAACGATAGAGGAAACAAGAAATGTGGGAACATTTGTAGTACATTAAATAAGGCAGGCGCAGTTGTAAGCTGGGTTCAGAAAAAACGGTATGCACCGCCGATGGGCAGGCGCCATTTGCAGCGCTCGTGTCAGTAAAAATTCCCACAGAATAAGCAAACTCGCACATGCTGCAAAGATGGTAGGCTTAACCATCACTCGTTGGCAATCACGTCACGCGCCGCTTGCTGGCCCGACCAGTAGGCGCCGTGGACTGTGGCGGGCTCGTTGACGCTGGTGTGCTCCCCGGCAAAGAAGATGCGGTTGCCAGCCATGGGCTTGGCGGTGCTGCAGGGCAGGGCGGCGGGGAGGGCAAGCCAGCCCAGGAGACGTCAGCCAAACCCCAGCCCGTCCCCACCCAAAGGTGTCCGATGCAGGGCTGCAGACGCAGGGCAAGCCAGCCACCGCGGCAGCGGCTCACTCGCGGTGCGCCCGGATGAAGCCCTCCTCGCCAGCCACCGGCGCCTTGGTATACGAGTAGCTGCCCAGGGAGAACTCGTCGCGGCCCCAGGCCGTCACCTTGTACTGCGGCGCAGCGTGGGGGTCTGGGTTTGGGTGCGCGGGAGGCGCGGGTGGCAGGCGCGGTGGGCGCCATGCATGCTGTGTCGCCGTCCGGGATGCCAGCTCAGGCATGGCCTGGCGTTGCGGCGCGGGCCGACTTCATACGGGAGGCGCGCGTCTGCCACCCCCAGGGGCGGCAGCGAGGCCGCCCGCCCATGCCGGGCACCACTCACGCTGCGCGGCTCCGGGACGTCGTCGTACAGGCTGCGCAGTACCGCCAGGAACTCGTCCTTCACCTGCTTGGCGCTCTTCTTCTCCAGGTGCCGCGCGTAGTTGGCGGCGTTGAATGCCACCAGCACAGGCTGGCCTGCGCTTGGTGGCAGGGGCGGGAGAACAGGGCGCGGAGCACTGGGGCGAGGCAGGGCAAAGAGGATGGCATGGCAGGGGACGCGAGCAGGCAGGCAGCCGGCCCATAACCCGCTCCTCCCTCCGTCCTGTCTCCTCCCTCCGTCCTGCCTGCCTATCTACCCTCTCACCTGTGACGGGGAACAGGTTGAGCGTTTCCTGGAAGGCGCCGTTGCCGGCGGGAGCGATGCGATTGATGGCCTCCACATCCGCATCCCAGAACACCCGGTCAAACACCAGGACCACCTGTAAGGAGCAAACAGCAGCACGGCGCAGCAGGTGTTGAGCGCCGGCAGCAGGCAGGCACGCCGGGCCAAGGGGCTGTGGCGCCCACCCCCATGCTGGTGCCGCAGCAGGGGAACACAGCAGCAGAGCGTGTCCACAGGCGTGCCTCGGGCCGCCACCAGCCGCACCTTGTTAAGCATCCCGCTGCCCAGCATGCCCAGCGCCCTGCGGTTGGCTGCCGGCAAGCCCGACGGCTTGAACCGGATGCTGCCCGCCTGCATCACACCCAGCGGCACCGCCACCACCACGCGCCGCGCGGTGAAGGTGCCCCTGCCAGCCACCGCCACCGCAATACGGTCCGGACGGGAGGAGTCGATGGCGATGACCTGTGCAGGCGCGAGAGCAGGAGCAGCAGGCGTGGTGATGCGCAGGCGAGGAGGGAGGGGAGAGCCGCAGCCCAGGGCTGGCAATGCTTGCCCTCGGGCCTTGCTGCCAGGCGCAGGGAGCGGCAGGCGCGCGTCACGGGCTGGTGAGCTCCTGCGCCCACCTTGTGTCCCAGTCGCACATCGATGCCCCTAGCCAGCCACTTCACCAGGTTCTGGTAGCCTGCCAGGCAGGGCCGCCATGCAGCGCATGACACACGGGGAGGTAGGCAGGCTGGGCAGCAGCAGGACCGGCAGCCCCGGCCAGCGCGGCTGTTTGGCTGCAATCGCGCATCGCAGCTGCCGCACCCCCGCTGCCTCCCTACACACCCTACCCCAGGCGAGTGCCAGCAGGCGGCTGCTCCTCGCATCCAACACGTTAGCAGCCACAGCCGCCCAGTGCCCACCTCCGGTCACAAGCTTGTCGCCATCGCCCAGCCCGGAGTCGTAATTGAAGAACAGAGACAGGTTGGCCACAGAGGCGGCATACTCCTGCTCCACAAACGTGTTGACCTCGAAGCTGCGTGGCAGGGCAGGGACAGGCGGGATGGGAGAGCAGGCAGGTTGGGATGGCTAGGCAGGAATGGGGCCAGTCACTCCTGGAGAGCGTTGGGAGCAGGCATGTGTAAGGCGATACACCGCACGCCCCAGCAGGCAGGAGGCGGCTTCCAGCCGATGGCGCGGCTGCGGCGGGCGTGCGGCCAGGGCACCAGCTGGCGGCCCAAACTTTGAACTGCGCAAAGCCAGCGCGCGTGCAGCAGCGGCGGGCAAGCGCGCGGCAGGGCGGGGCAGGGCTCACAGGAAGGCCTGGCGGTCCAGCCCCGTCAGCCGCTTGCCCTGTATGAACTGGCGGGCGGCGGCACCCAGGCCTGGGTCGCGGCCGAGGGGGTCGTCCCTGGCCTGCAGCTCCGACACATACTCTTCAAACTCGCTGAAGGTTGCTTCCCACCTGCGAGCCGGGGGAGGGGAAGACCGCGGGGGTGGCCGCATGCAAGGCCCAGGCCTCAAACCTGCTGCCGCTGGCTGATTTCGTGGCGGTGTCGCAGCAGCAGCGGTGCATGCTTTGCTGGAGGTGGTGGTGATGCGGGGCTCAGGCGACTGGAGCAAGCCTGGGCTGCACCCAGCCCTTCCAGACATGTGGGTGGTTTGCGGGCAGGCAGCCACCCACTTGAGCCACTGCGCGTCGCTTGCCTCCCTGCCGTCGGGAAGATACAGCACGCTGTTCTCATAATCTGTTGGCTGCTTGGCCAACGCCACGCCCGCCTGCCCTGCCAGCGCCACAAGCGGGTTGCCGGTCAGGCCGTGGATCCAGCTTGCCCCGAGGTCCACCTTGATGTTGCCTGCCTTGCCGGCAAGCTCCACGGTATGTGTTCTGCGGCCCAGGCAAGAAAGAAGGGATGACGCTAGTGGCGGAAGCTTGCGCAAAGCGGACGAAGGGCGGGGCAGCAGGTGGCGGTGCTTGCCTGCCGCCAACGCGGGCGCGGCCCTCCAACACGATCACGCTGGCACCCGCGGCAACCAGATCCCTCGCTGCCTTGATGCCCGCCATGCCCGCGCCCACGACAATAACGTCCGCCGAGGTGGGAACTGCAGTCGAGAGGCGCCTGCCGGAGGCAGTCCCGACCCTGTCGGCGTCCAACCCCGATGCACCAACTTGGTGAGTGCAGCACAAACATGACAGCAGCAGGATCAGGGGCAGAGGGTGCCGAGGAGGCTGCAGACGTGTGGGCGTGGCATGCGCCAGTCGCAGGAGGGAAGGCTGCCAAAACATGCCAGGTAAACCGAGGAGCAGCTTTCGTGCCACGATTCATACCTTGGCGCATTGCTGAGCATACCTCCGCCCCGCTGGCATGATGTCATCATGCCGTTCAAAGCGCTCGACGTGGCTTGAGCACCTATCAGCGTTGAGCACTTGGCACACGAGCATGAGCATCGATGTGCATTGATGTGTGGCGCAGCTCCTTGGATGAGCAGGTTTGTGAAGCAGGACCAACAACACGCTACGAGGCAAAAGGGGCGCAGCAGGGCACCCCCGGTGTGATCAGTTCCTGCATTGCTGTTGTTGGAGCATTCCCGCCAGGAACATCAGGGACAGGATAGTCCTTTCATTACAGGCATTTGCAGCCACAGCGTTGGCTGGATCACGCACTCCTGCCGGCACTGCGCAAGCGCTTTCCCTCAAGCCAGAGAACAAGCTCTCCTTCAACCACAGAACCACCCACATCGTCTTCCACGGCCGTCACTTGCAATTCCGCTCCACAGCATTGCTAAGCAGCGCCGGCCTCGATGGATTCTTGCCATTCCTCCAAGATGGCGGCCGATCTGTTGCAAACGCCGGCAGCGGCGGCGCCTCTGCGCCCACCAGCAGCTGCGGCGCCCCTGCCTGCTCGACGTCTGCGCATTGCGAGGCCCCGGACAACGGTGTGCATACAAAGGCTGCGGCGCCTCGTGCAAGCTGATGCCAGAGGCGATCCCACCCACCTGGTCCAGCTCTGCCTCCAGGTTGCGCGTCGTGCCCGGGGAGGGACTTGCTGCTGCTGCGGCGTTCGGCACTGGGCAGGCTGCTGCTGCTGGTCGGGGCTCCACTCCACGTCCCCCCAGCTCCCGTCTGACGCCTCTGTCTGCAGGCACAGCGAGGGAAGGAGCAGCGGCACAAGCTCGGCATCAGCGGCCAGGTGGGCAAGAGAGGGTCCAGCGAAACGGGGCGGCGCTGCAGGCAGGCAATCAGCAGGTTGGGGAGGGCAGCACCCCCACCGTGCGCAGCGCTCACCGAAGGGGTGAACCCCGTGTGGCCCGCCTTGGACCGCTCCTCATTGCGCCGGTCGCGAAGCTGCACACATAGTGGTAGGCGAGGGAATGGGGGTGCAGTATACCTTCAAGGCGGACACGTGTCCCAGAGCGTGCCGGCACCCTCGCCGGCAGCCACTCGCGTGGATCAGTTTGCGCTGTCGAGTCCACCAAGGACTCGGATGAGTGCCAAACAGCTGCAGTCAACATAGCCCTACCTATGTTGCCTGCAGCTGAGGCGTCCCACCCTCCAGCTGCCTTCACCGAGTAGGAGCTGCTGGGGCAAGACAGTAACAGAGGGAGTCTGGAGGCACTTCAACTGCAACCCACTCATCGCTGGCCCCCCGCGCACCTCCCGATGCTGCTGGTCCGTCAAATCTTCCAAGTAACCGGGCAGCTCATCACGTGGCTCGGCGACCGCCTCCGCCTCCTGCAAGCAGCAGTTGCGCGTTCGAGACGCAGCCAGCGCAGCGCTGGAGAAGTCCCGAGCAGAATTGCAGGGCTGACAAGCAACTTGGCCCAGCGCGACAGGCACAGGAACGGTTGGAAAACAGCACTGACAGCACTGACAGCACTGCAGCAGGCGCACCGAAGCTTCAGCTGCCGAGGTGGAACACTTCCTGACGGTGGCTGGGTCCCTCCCCTGGCCGGCCGAACACTTAATTTGAACTGCCACGCACCTCGGGGAGAAGCGCGGGAGGGTCGCTGCCCGCCGCCAGCGGCGCGACCTCGGCCAGGGAAGCAGCCGCCTCGGGCGCAGCCACAGCCGCCTCGGGCGCAGCCACCCCAGCTCCCTCCACATCTACACTGCTTGTGTCCATCTCTGCAGGAAGGGTATGGGCAGGAAGGGAGCAGTCTGGCCAAAGGTTGGGGGGAGAATCGTCCAGAATCTGCCCTCCTGTGGCGCTGGCTGCCTCTGGCCCGGCCAACGCTCATGACCACGCATGATGCTGCCTCCCAGGTGCTGCCCCAGCCAGGGGAGGGCATTTGAGGGCTTCCAAGGCTGGGTGTGGACGCGTGTGGGGGCCCTGCGCCCTGCCCAGGTCCCTTCAAGCCAAGCAGCTGTGGCCCTGGGCCTTTCCCAACAGGTGCCAGCGCACGCTCACTCACTCTGGGTGGACCCGCTCCTCTGGTTGCCTCGTGGCTTAGCGCTGCCCCTCAGCAGAGAGGCCTGGATGCAAGGCAGAACAGAAGCCAGGCAGGAAGGCAAGGAGAGGGCTGTGTAGGGGAGGCTGGGATGACCTCAATGTTTGGGTGGAAAGCGGGAACGCCTGACTCAGACAATCCTGTGGAGGGTCACCCTGGATGTGCACTCCACATATCCTGGCAGGGTGGCCACACCAAACACAACACATGAACGTGGGTGGGGAGGTGCAGAACTCGTGGGCACGGCCAGGAGACCCAGCCCTGCAAGCTTCAGGAAACGCAGCAAGGGCCACGCCGGCGGCATGGGCAATGGCGACGCATCAGCCCCGCCAGAGCCACCGGAGCAGGCAGGGCTCAGCACCCCTTACCCTCGGGGCACCAGCTTGGACCTGGAGGCTGCGGCCGCCCCTGGGCAACAGACCAGAGAGCAGCTGACTGGTGAGTGTGTTGGGGAAGTCCAGAGGAGCCGAGTTGCTGGGCGGTGGCGGCCGCGTTGGCGGCAGGTACACTCCGCCGGTGCCACCAGCACAGGTTTCAACAGAACCTGCCAAGCCGTGCTCTTGTCCACAGGCCCTGGCGAGGCTCAGCTGGAGGCGGTAGTGGAGGAGGGCGATGTGTTGGACCAACTCGCTCAGCTGCAGCGGCAGCAGCCGCAGCAGCCAGGAGCGCGCAGCAGCAGCCAGCAGCAGTTGCCGCCCACGCAGCGGCAATCACCAGAAGCACAGCAGCAGGCGGCAGCGGGGCCAGCAGAAGACGCCCTGTCCGCATTGCTGCCGTGAGTGCATGGCAACTGCTACTAGCTGCCAGTGATGCCCGTCAGCCGCCCAGTGTCACCAGCCTGATTTGCCCGCCTTATCCTTCGCCCACCAACGTGGGCTCCTGCTTGCCCCTCGTGCCTCGCCTGTGCCCCTTGCAGGGAGGAGCCTTCGGCCACAGTCAGGCCCGGGCATCGTACCTCGCACACAGCGGCCGCCTCCGGTCCCTATGGCGCTGCGCTGCATGCAGGTGTGGCGGGCCTCGGCGCTTCCCGCTCATCCCAGCGAGGCAGCAGAGCAGGTGAATCTGTGGCCGCAAGCCATAGCTCAGTGTGGCAGGCTGGAGCGCCGCTCTGGCCTGGCGAGCCGGGCGGTGCGCGCGGCAGCACAAGGGGAGATTCGCGTGCGTCCCTAGCTGCACAGCACAGCGCGCATCCCTCCGAGAGCGGCCCATCAACGCGAGCAGCAGCAAGCAGCCCCCCAAAGGGCAGCACCAAGGCAGCCACAAACCTGTATGGCAGCACCACCACTGTGCGATTGGCAAAGCCCAAGGCGAAGCCCAAAGCTGAGGCCACGTTCAAGCAGCCTCAGCTCCAGCAGCAGCAGCAAGCGCCGCATGAGCCCCAACAGCAGCCGCAGCCGCAGAGCAAGACGGCGCAGCGAGCATCCGTGTCACCATCCGGCATGCCCAAGGCTGCCGACGAAGCTGCCGTTGCTGCCAGCGCAGCAGTAGCCCAGGTGTTTGCAGCTGCCCAGGAGCAGCCTCGCCTTGTGCGTGGCGGCGACACCAGCCATCAGCGGCATCGGTCGGTGCTGCCAGAGCCACCCCAGCATGACAGGCACCAGCCGCTAGAGCAGCCTGCTGCCCACTGCCTGCCTGCGGCACCAGCGCATCATGATGGAGTGGCAGGCATGGGAGTGCCCCCTCCAGCAGCCAACACAGGGCCGCCTGGAGGCAGCAGCTTCGCGGCAGACAAGGCGGGCCGTGTGCCTGCGGAGCAGCTCCAGCAGAAGCCAGAGCAAAAGCCTTTCAGACCGGCAGGCGGGGGCTCGGCCAGGTCGGTCAGCCCCCCCCTGCTCCGCCCACCTGGCAGCGATGCCGCCATAGCCGCTTCCACAGCAGCAGGAGGCGGGCAGGCTGGGACCAGTGGCAGCGCAGATGGTGGGCAGGAGGCAGGTGGCATAAGCGGGCTGGCAGGGGACGCATCAGCCGCAGAAACGGGAGATGCACGCCCCGGCCTCTCGCGTCCCTTCCTGCGCCTGCGCAGCAACAAAGGTGGGCCGGGGCCACTGTGGTTTGGCACAGAGAAACACATTAAGATACCTTAAGGTCTATGTCTATGTTTCCAGTACTGTCCTGCACCTGCGCCTCTTTTGCCCTGTCGCAAGCCCCTTGCTGCCTTGCCATGCAGCCTCGCCGCCTCCCACGGCTGACACGCAGACTCAGCCTCGCTTCACCTCAGGCATCAGCGGCAGCTTTGATCGCACGCGTGAGGAGTCATCGGCAGCACTGCCGGTGGCAGCTACAGCCGAGCGGGAACAGCAAGACACCACTGGAGGTCGAGAGGAGACCCCGGGAGATGGCGCAGCAGCTGACGCAGAAGGGAAGCAGCCCCAGGGCCAGACCGAGGGTGAAGGTGACGTGCCTGTGGAGAGCCATAGGAAGAAGCGGCGGCGCCTGCTGCTGCTCCTCCTGCTGCTGCTCCTGCTGCTGCTTGGAGGCGGCATAGGGATCGCTTTGGGCCTCAGGAAGAAGCAGGCAGCGCCGCCGGTAGCGCCCATGCTTGTGTGGGCTTAAAGTCTGGTAAAGCAAGAACTAGCTTGCAACATAGACTCCCCGCCGAAACGGGACGGGAACCGGGCGAAAGCAGAGAAAGCAATAAAACAGGGGTGGAGCAAGGCGACATGCAACGCAAGCAGCTGACAGGGCACGCATCGAAACGTGTGTATGACTGGCAAAGTGGCATGGCGCATTGGGGAGAAACGCAACGGTACGGGAGCATGGGCTGGCCAAACGGCAGTGCGGAACGCTAGGTCACTAGAAAAGCAGGGAAAGGCGCACTATGTATGCAATGAGGGCAGCCCCGGCTCGGGGCCGTTGAGAAAGCAGTGGGCGGGAGGGGGGAGGCCCCGGTGTGGGCGGGCCCCATCGAGGGGGGATGGGGCGCGCAAGCGGCCAGATGGGGCGGGGCGCGGGCGGCAGTAGAGTCCTGCGGCTGGGTGGGATATAGGGCAATGAGCGTTGAGCAGTGTGCGATGAGCAATGAGCAATA